GTTTTAAATACTTTTTAATTTTATCAATGAAGTCCATTTACTTATTTTTCCTTTTTCCCTCTCTTCTCTTTCCAACCTAGGTTACGCGTGCGCTCTATGTCTGTAAGGGGGATGGGCATAGAAGGCTCACGAGTGGATGTATGTCTTTCATGCACATGTGGAATGCACGTCAGATTGGAGAGAGACGACCATCCATGCTTAGTTCCTTCTTGATTTCTACCTGAGCTTCAGTACCTAGGCATCAGTAAGCAGTCTATTTTTATGACATGTCTATGGTATCATCACAAAAGTAAATTTCAAACATTTTTTTAATGAACAAAAAAAGTTAAAAATACGAGAATCAGCTCATAATAAAAATTTATTTCCCAAATCCATTTTTTATCCCCTAAAAAATTTTTTTAGTTTAGGGAAGAGGTGGTAGTCACTGGGTGCTAGATCTGGAGAAAAGGGTGGATGTTCAAGCAATGTGAACTTTAACTGGAAAACTTTCTCGTTGCAATAATTGAACAATAAGTCGGAGCAGTGTTATAATAGCACAAGATTTGTTTTCCTAAATAACGTCTATTTTGTATTATCTCATTACTAAAACATTGCAGTAAGCTTGCGTATTTATCCCAATGATACGATTACCCTTTTCCAAGGAGTCAATCAAAATAGTTTTCTTTGCATTTGAGAAAACACCTGCTGTTAACTGATAAATTGTCTTTGCATTGTTTGGAGTTAATTTACCTGGCACAATCGACTGTTTTGACTGCAATTGGCTTTCTGGAACTCACTCATGATTGAAGTTTTACGGTAGAGTTCTAAATTCTTAATATAAACAATTTTCCTATGTAACTTTTGATTAGGCGTCAACTGAAAAATTGACTGACAGATTTTTGATTGGGCTGAATTTTTTTTAACGGATTTATTACTGACAAAAAGGAAAAATTATTTTTTCACAATGTTTTGGACGTTAGAAAACATTTAAATTTCGCAATATAGGTCATTTAAGGGTTGAGAAAAGATTTTCAAAATTTGTATCTCTCATCGGTTTCCTCTGGAATATACTGTGATGTACAGTATCTAGAACCTTCAGATGTTCGCGCCCAAGACTCACCTCTCGCGGCGCATGAGCAGCAGACTGAGAGTAAGATGAGCACCTTTCGGCTGTGGGCCCAAACGTTATCAGCTCTCCCGCCCTCTCTCTTTGATTGGCCCCCGAACCTAATACCTCGCACGTGACTACTCTCGCTTCAAACTTTCTTTCACGTATATTATATCTTCTTACACTCCCAAGCTCCGCGATTCCCACATAACAATACATTATTATTTTTTTTTTTTTTAAATACTCTTATTTGTTTGTCAAGAAAGCAGGATAACAAAAATTAAAAAAGTAATTATTATTATAGTACCTCGTTTAAAATCACAACGTTAAATAGTAGTAGTAAATAGTATAATGTAGTAGTAAGCCTTTTAAGTGTGCCTTCTACTCCATTATATAGTCCTTTCTCATGGGGAGTTAGGAAAAATTGCTACTCAGCTGCCATATGAAAGTCCTGAAAATGATGCATGAGCGTTATGAAATTCTTCTCATTCTTGTACTGCTCACTGACACTACCCGAAAAATATATGGGTTTTTTTACGTCTGTCAAATTCGTATTTATCAAATCGGCTAACTGTTTTTAAAATAGATGAACAGCAACTGTATTGTGGCGTAAGCATTCTGCCATAGAAGCCAAACTTTTGATTTTTAAGGAAGATTTATCGATAGTAAAATTAACAATGAGAAATTGATGAAAATTTGTTTACACATGAATGAACTCATGAAAATGGCGCTGCCAAAATTTGAAGGCATGAAGGTTCCTAGGAGCCGAGTAATTAATATTCATATTTAGCTAAGTTTTACATGAAGGCTAATGGGCTGTCGTCCTTTTAAGCGCATCTATTGCATTTACCTCGCTTATTAACAACTATTTTTTGATAAAAATTTTATTAATGATAAAAAAATATCTAATGATCGCATTAAATTTAATGAACATCTTGAGGGTCCTTTTAAGAGAAGAAATTAATTCATAAGCTAGGTAAAAACTACAAAAAATTATGTCGTCATAAGAGAGCAAGAAAGAGATATGACATACCAAACTATAGAAAGCGCCGCATGGACTGTAGCGAGGGATGGAACCTCCTTAAACTCATTTTTGTCATCTCTGAAATAAATAAAAAGTTAATGTGTTTTCATACGGTCCTTATTTCAGTGCATCCCTTCTACTGAATTCGTTAGTACAAATGCATGATTCTCTGAGAAATCACAAATAACGATACACTTATTTTTCATTGAAGTCTTTTTTTTTTTGTTCAAAAATTTTCTTTGCTTATCAACTAAAAACGAACAATTCACTTATTTAATCAAATCATTACAAAGAATTTTCATAAAATCATCAACATTTAATGTAAAGGTTTGTAATGTGGTCCTCTCGGTCGTTACCCATTGCTTGCATTTGATACTGTCTATTAATTTATCTTTGAAACTTTTTTCTAGCTGATCAATAATACTGGTAACCGCAGTGCATTCATTTTGCAATCCTAAGTATAAGTTTAGTCAACTTTACATTGTATAGCATTTGATTCAAACAATTATGGTAATTTGTTGAAGGTCACGGAGAATCAGTAGTAATTGATTTAAAATTTGTTTCATAAATTAATAATTTTACATTTTTTAGTATGGGGCTAACACAAATGGAATAAGAATCAACCACTCTCGTTAAGACACAATGTTTAGGTCGTAAGCTTACAAACTTGGAGAAACTACAATTTATGTAATGAATCGTTGTAAAAACGTACCATTAACAGAAAGAAAACAATTTATTTCCTACTCGAATATCGACACAAAAAAATGGATCCCGCACAAAAATAATACCTACCGCAACATCACCAACAGTTTTATTATAATAAACAAAAATTTATACAAATTACTAATCTTAAATATTAATGCCGTATCTATAATCATAGATAAGTATTTATAGATAAGATTTGAGGGTTTATTTTGTTGAGATCGATTTTGAAGTAGTGAATTAATTCTAATCTTGCTGCAAATGACACTTTAGTGACAAAGTTTTAGAGTAGGGTGGAATAATCGGAGATTTTTTTAATAGCTTTATGGAAATTTATCTAACTATAAAAAAAAAAAAAATTATTTTTGAAAAATCCTGACTAACGTGTTTTTTTCAAATTTGAACACAACATTAAAAAACCATGTTTTTCGAATTAAAACAAGTTAAAGTGTACTTTCACCATGTAGTCGAAAAAATTTATTTTTGTATCAGTTTTATCACGTGAATAATATTTAAAAAATTCTAAAAATTCCAATTTTGATGTATGGCATAAAGAAATGTAGTATATGAGCTAAATGTTCATAAAAAATTCTAATAAAAATTTTAACGAATTTTTTTAGAATCAATAACTTGAAAAAGGGGGCAATCGGAGCGGTTTTCATGGAGCAACCCGAGCGGTTCCGTAACGTTAGTTATCCGCTCTAACCTAAAAAAAAGGAATGTAGCCGTGGTAAAACACATCTTGTTTATTATAGAAATTGTACCTGTACTATTTATTTACCAAATTATTTGTATTTTAATGGTTCTTCTTTCTTTTTTCTTTCACTCCGTGTATGTATCTCCAATAATTGAAACCATATCTAAACTTCAACTTGGGTGGATTGCGAATTCTGGGGAGTGCTTTAGACACCTACTCAGGCGGGGCTGTTGATATATCTTGAAGAGGCCTCTTTGAGGGGTGAAACGTCCACAATCTTTTATTCAATTAAAGACATTTACTCTTCACACGGCTTCTTACTTGTTTTGATTAGTCCAAATTATTTGTAATTCAGTAATGGAAAAAGTAATACGATTTTTTATTTTAGTTTACAAAGAAGAAAAATCAACTACAACACTGCTCCAAATGCCTCACACAAACCGCTCAAATTGCTCCACTATTACTAACTTAGCAGTCTCTTAGGTTTCAAATATTTCCAAATGTTTTCAAGTGCAGGTAAACGAATGAAGTATTCGTTTGTATGTTAATTAGATATTATTTTATATTCTTTATTTTACGCTGTCTATTCGCACCTTATATTCACGTATACGGATGCGCCTCGCTCGCTTCGCTTGCTTGGAAAAAAAAAAAAAACTTGGACCCTATAAGTACCGGACAGTAGAGTTGCCTACCGCGCATGCGTATCCACTATATCCACGCACCGTGGATGTACGGTGCGAATAGACACTTGGTTTTTTTAATCATAAAAGAAAATGTTCTTCAAACAAGTGTTCAAAAAATGAGGCTGTGAGAAAGCTCGCCAATTACCTAAGCGTGCCTGTACATGGAAGACCTGCTGTTTGGCAACTGCCCTAACTCAACCCAATATTCTCTGTCCTTTGCTTTAGGTTGCGGCTGTTATAATATTGGCCGCTTCTCGCTATTAAGCTTCTAAATTCCTAGGAGAGTTGCAGCAGGTAATTTTATGGTATCGTCAGGCCTCAGCTTTTGATCAATTAAGTTGTTATACTGTATTGTATAATTAATATTTGCTAATAAAACAGACTTTATCTGTTTTCAATTATTATTTGATGAAAAATTAAACAGTTATATGGAATTACCAAAAAATTAATAGAAGTGATTTTTACACATGCTTAATATCTTAATTATATTTTTGATGGTTTTTACACTCGAATAAAATTAGTAGATTTTATCACTCAAAATGTTTTAAGATACAATTTCCAGTTGCTGTAGCAGTTACTGAGGTATAAAACACAAATGAATGTGACCTAAGCTAGCTGTAAAAAAATAAAAAAAAACCAAATTTTAATCTGTTTTTAAATTCATACAAGCTACCAATTAATAAGTTTTGTTGTTGATGTTAATGATTAACTATTACAGATCAAATAGACTTGTATTTACTGTAAATTAAAGACTTTCTTTTTCATATTTATAAAAAATCCGAAGAAAAAAATGTCTTTGATTTTTACCTGTAATTAATCCCTCAAATTCTGTTACAGCTAATAGGTTTAAATTAAGAAACTAGAATTGTTCTAAGGAAATGAAATCGTGTTCACAAACACAGTTTTTAATTTCTTGTGACAGCTGGGATATAAGGTATAACTAAGGCTGCAGTCACGTGGAGCGCAAAAGAGCATGCAGGATAGAATTGTCCCTGTAAGGCCGCAGTCACATGGAGCGCAATAGAGCGAGCAGGGGTCTGACCAGGATATTCGATATCTCGCTTAAGTAAGCAGTTTTTTCGATAATCCCTAAGCTACGCATGCGTATTATCGTCATTTTTGGTTAGTTTATAGGGATTATCGAAAAAACTGCTTACTTAAGCGAGATACCGAATAGCACAGTGAACTGTGCGAACGACTTGCATCCAGGAAAAAAAAAAAAAAACCAAAAATTGCGAAATCGTTTGCAGGTTTTGCAATTGCCATGCAAAAAATTGTCAGAGTATTATTTTTTTGTAAAAAAAATAAAATGTAGTACGTCCTGCGAGAATCTCATAAAACTATTATTTCGCCTCAACGGTAGAGTTTCTACTATTAAAATTATCACCAGTCGTTTGCAATTTAATTGCCAGTGCGTGTGAGGATCGCAAAATAGTCGAATTAGTTATATTTATTGAATAAATAATTATATTTATATACGAGAGTAAGTCGAGTCATCTTACTCCCACCCCAGGCCAGGGCGCATGCGCACTACACTCGAAATTCGAAGTACCAGCGATGGGATATAGTTCCGGCCAGATTTGGGAATTCTCTAGGACCCAACCTCTCTGACGTGGGAAATCACTAGATCAAAAAAAAAATAGTACCGAAGGTGACGCGCGAGATTCAAATAAGGTCCAATAACACAAGCATCCATCACCTGATGACCCAGTGTGCTTACTGGCCACTCTGTTAAATAAATAATTATTAACAACACAAGCGCCTATCACCTGATGACCCAAGGCGCTTACTGGCTACTATTGAATAATAAATTATCAAGTAATTACAAGAGCGCCAATTAAAAAGATCTTTGTCGTACTAGATAGGCAATCAAAATTGTGATATGGTTAATATGTTATCGATCAACTTTTTATTATTTAATAGTGTTGCAAACAAGTGTCCTGGATCATCAGGAAAAAGGTGCTTAACATATTTCTGAATAATTATTTATTTACTAGATTTGGAATTAGCGCCTCAGGTTATACGGTGATAGGCGCTTGTGTTATTAATAATTATTTATTTAACAGAGTCCAGTAAGCACACTGGTTCATCAGGTGATGGATGCTTGTGTTATTGGACCTTATTTGAATCTCGCGCGTCACCTTCGGTACTATTTTTTTTTTGATCTAGTGATTTCCCACTTCAGAGAGGTTGGGTCCTAGAGAATTCCCAAATCTGGCCGGAACTATATCCCATCGCTGGTATTTCGAATTTCGAGTGTAGTGCGCATGCGCCCTGGCCTGGGGTGGGAGTAAGATGACTCGACTTACTCTCGTATATAAATATAATTATTTATTCAATAAATATAACTAATTCGACTATTTTGCGATCCTCACACGCACTGGAAATTAAATTGCAAACGACTGGTGATAATTTTAATTGTAGAAACTCTACCGTTGAGGCGAAATAATAGTTTTATTAGATTCTCGCAGGACGTACTACATTTTATTTTTTTTACAAAAAAATAATACTCTGACAATTTTTTGCATGGCAATTGCAAAACCTGCAAACGATTCCGCAATTTTTGGTATTTTTTTTTTTTTTGCTGGATGCAAGTCGTTCGCACAGTTCACTGTGCTATACCGAATGCCCCGATCAGACCCCCCCACCTGAAAAAGAAAGACGGAATTCCATGCGTGATTACTTCTGTAATACCTTCAGGAAAGCCATGTGGCATTACATATATGGTTTAAAGTATGGCATTACACAAGGGGTTTTAGCTTGGTAATGCCATATGTAATTCCATTTGAAAAAACACATAGAATTACAAATTGGAAAAAGGGAAAAAACTTTGTCATATATAAATAACTGCAGAAAACTGTTATGCGTCATTTACTGTGACTAATAAGAGTTACCATCAGGATGATAACTCCAAAACAAGGGGATTAAAGTTATATGTCAGAAATAAAAAAAAAAATAAAAAAAAAAATTTTTTTTCTATAGAAATAAAATCAGCTGAACCCCCTTGTTTTGGAGTTATCATCCCGATGGTAAGACAAATTGTAGACCGCAAATAACTTATTATGGTATTTTGCAGTTATTTCTCGATGATAGAAATTTTTTCTTTTTCCAATTAGTAATTCCATGTGTTTTTCCATATGGAATCACATATGGCATCACCAAGCTAAAACCCTTTACGTAATGCCATATGTAAAACCATGTGTAATGCCATATAGATTTCCTGAAAGTTTTACAGAAATAATTCTATACATAGAATTCCGACTTTTTTTTCAGGTGGGCCTGCTTGCTCTATGGCGCTCCATGTGACTGCAGCCTCAGAAATGTAGACTGCTCGTTCTTATGTACGGCGCTGAAGCACGAGTAAAAAGAGACACCACATCGAACGTGGGTATCAGTCTCTTTCACACATTGCCAAAGGCGGGGGTCAGTAAGTCATTATACTGTCAGTAGACTGCACTGGAAAACTTGTACGGCCGTATCGGTAGCGTTGGGTTAGGCGGATTCAATATCGGGACTTTTTCCCTAGATCGTATATTAGCTATAAGATCTAGGAAGAATGTTCCGCCGAGTAGACAGCAGTAAAGGGGTATTGCCAAAGATAGTACCCAGAACGTGCGAAAATTAAAAATTGTGATATTACGAACACAAGCGCCTATCACCCAATGAGCCGGGGCACTTACTGGTTACTTTACTTAATAATAAAATATTAATTATTAACACAAGCGCCTATCACCCAATGACCCGGGGCGCTTACTTGCCACTATTAAGTAATAAATTATTAATCACTAACAAGAGCACTAATTAAAAAGATCTTTGTCGTACTAGACAATCAATCAAAATTTTAAATTGTTTACATATGTTATCAATTAACTTTTTGTTATTCAACAGTGCGGCCAATAAGTGTCCTGGGTTATCAGGTGATAGGCGCTTTTGTTATTTATTAATAATTATTTATTTAATAGAGTGGCCAGTAAGCGTCCTAGGTCATTGGGTGATAGGGGCTTGTAATTATAATTAATGTTTTATTTTTTAATAGAGCAACTAGTAAGCGCCCCGGGTCATTGGGTGATAACCACTTGTGTTATTAATTAATAATATGTCATTTAATAACGCAACCAGTAAGCGCCCCGGGTCATTGGGTGATAGGCGCTTGTGTTATTAATATTACAATTTTTAATTTTCGTACGTTGTGGATACCGTCTTTGGCAATGCCCCTTTACTGCTGTCTGCTCGGCGAAACATTCTCCCTAGATAGTATAGCTATATATAAGATCTAGGGAAGAAGTTCCGTTATTGAATCCGCCTAACCCAATGCAGCGTATCGGCAGTACAACACTGCCGAAACGGCAATGTTGGCCACAGCGATGACTGTTTGACACCACCCTGCGGCTATTGCAGGAGAGTCCTGCAGTTGTGGCAGTACGTACACAGCTAATCCGTTAAGTTGATACCACCGCCGAAACCGCTGTACTTACTCCTGCGCTTTACATGCAATGTATACGTTCTGCACGTATTATGCAAGGCTTTATAAGTATACGTATATATCGTATATGCACACTTCAGTAGACCGAAGTGTATTCATACACACACAAAAGCAAATTTGCATTAGCGTATATGGATATAACCATGCAATTTAGATTTGTCTATTATTTTTTATTATGTTTGAAAAAGGATCATTGAATGAAATGAAGAATAAACAGATAAGTGTTATACATCGAATTGTATAAAAATTGTAAAAATTAAATCTACGTAAAAGATAATGACAGGATATTTTTTCTACAGGGTTAAAATATTTTTTAAAAATTGAAGAGCCTCACCAAGATGTTAAAGTATATTCATTTCTGCTATACATTTTATACAAAAGTATCAACAATTTTCTTTTTTATCAAATATATTTAGTTGAAAAAAATAAATTGTCGCGTATTTTTTCAGCAACACATGAATAGATATTTATATATTCACACTATTTTTGTGTACGTACTCTTGTAACTTGTTACATATACTTTATACTTACCTCTGCATACTAGCTATATGAGCGCGGGAGTAAGTACAGTGGTGTCAGCGGTTTCGGCGGTAGTATCAACTTAACGGATTAGCTGTGTACGTACTGCCACAACTGCAGAACTCTCCTGCAATAGCCGCAGGGTGGCGCCAAACAGTAATCGCTGTGGCCAACACTGCCGTTTCGCCAGTGATATACTGCTGATACGGCTGTACAAGTTTTTCAGTGAAGGTAGACGATAACTTTCTCGTCCCCAGTTAGCGCCCACATAGAGCTCCATTACAATCCTAGCTCGGTACCACCTAGGCAACTCACATAGGCCGATAGGCCCCAGCTAACTAGCTTGAGAGCCCTGCTAACCAGTGTTGGGTGAGGAGGGTATGATTTTGAATTTTTATCACTAGGACCTATATATAGCTATAGATCATTGTAAGAAAAATGCAAAATCTGAATAGGAGGAGGGAAGAAGCCAGTGGTTCTCCCTAAATGTGACTGGCAAACTTGCGGGAAATTAAAACTGGCTATATGGAGCAAGACGCTAATCCCCAGATAACTTGACATCATTTCATGCACAATAACTTAATAAACTAATTCCTAGCTATTTAACCTAGTAACCCAACAGGCCAATAAGCAGCCTCATTAGTTTAAATGAATAATAAAATTTATTAATTAAAAAAGCAAGTGCTAATCCCCACATGACCCGAGGCACTTACTGGCTGCTTTAATTATTGATAAAATAAAATAATAACACAAGCGCCAATTCTCACATAACCCAGGGCGCTTACTGGTTGCTTTAATTATTTGTGATTAATAAAATAACAATGTTAGCGCTTATCCCCACACAAATGGGGGCACTTATTACTGAATGCTTTAATTATTGATGAAATAAAATTTTAAAAAATGGGTCGTGGGACACATGATAGAA